GAAACATCTCCCTAATAAATGCGTTTTAAAACCATGAGGCAGACGGCGATACGTAACGGCCAAAGTGAATAATATCTGTTAGCATTAAGCCTGGGCTATTACAAATGGTATCAGAGCTAGACACCAGACAATGTGCCAGGTGAGGAGGCTGGGTCGCAAATAGGGTGATTTGTGAGATCCCACATTGGTTGGATCCCACATTGGTTGGATAGGGAACGAAACATTATTTATAAGGGTGTGAAAACCTCTCCCTAACAACTGTGTTTTAAAACGGTAAGGCTGATGATGATACATCATGAGTCAAAGTAGTACATTAGGGCTAAAACATCCCATGAAACAACTTTTCTCCCATACAAATGATATCCATTCATGCATGCTTTCAAATCAGGCATGTGTATTCACGAAAATCAGGGCTTTAAGCAAAATCATTAGGGTTCTGAGCAAAATTTCCAAAGTGGGTCAGAAGTAATGGACATGATGTCTGCAAGTAAGGTGCCAATTGACCAAAAAGATAATGATTCATGAAAGAAAGGTAGAAACTTTTTGATGGGTTTTTTAAGGGGAGAATGATTGTGGGTCAGGATTGAGTGAATGAATTGAATGCAAAAATCCAAACAAAGAAAATGCAATGTTTTTTAAGCTGAATGAACCAAATTTGAGTGATTGATTGGAAAATCCAAAATGTACCAATTAAATTGGTCGGATGTGAATCTTTGATGAATCCTTCTGATCTCTGTGTCATCTCTGCTGTCCTTTTTTTCTGTCTCTCTACGCACACACGTGCAATGGGAAGGAGGGAGGGCGGGAGAGAGAGAGAGACTTGTAGATTAGAAGATTAGACATGTGGCTACGAACTTTTCCCTCTAGGAACTTAGAACTTGGGTGTGGGGAGAGGGACTCGAAGTATTCTTTACAAATATGTGGAAACTTCTATCTAGCCTACACGTTTTAAAAACCTTGAGAGAAAAATCGCTAGTGAGGACTTGAGTCATTATATAGGGTTTTATCCTACAAATTTTAATCAAACCTCCTACTTCAAGCTTGGTCGATGATACATGCTAAGTTATGTTCATGTTCGAGAAAATTGTACCTACGATTTGAAAAAAAGGACGTTTTTATCATTTCTTCAACACATTTAGTCTCTAACCCTAATCTTGAATCCTTCGATTCAAAACATAAATCTAAAGTTTTTTGTGTTCAATAATTTGATTAATTAGGTGGGTGGCCGAGGAAGACAACATTATAAACTTCCCAACAGTGAGAATGAAGAAGAGAATGGCAATTTGGGTAAAGAAGAGAGAGGATTAACGTTGCTGAGAGGCACAGAAGACAGCAACAAGTTTGCATAAAACTTGACCATTTTGATCCCTTCCAACAGACAAATAATTGGGACACAGACAAAAGAAAGGACATTTTCTTGGTCAAAATGCAAACGTGTGGGTATGCCCACTTTAATGTTCTTACTTGTCGCCATGGAAAAAATGTCTGCCTATTGTCCTACAAATCCCATGCTCCATAGGATGCTCTTCTTTTCCTTCTCTTTCATTTTTATGCCTACTTTTTAATATTGTTTAGTGGGGACGTTAGTCGGATGTAAGAAACAACGATAATAACAAGAAGAACGCATGAATGAATATAAAAATGTTCAGTAAGTAGTCTTTCGTAAGTCTTATTTCATGTCTAAATACCATATTTTCATATCTTGGCTTCTCAAAAAGCTAATCACTAGACTCTACTAGGTCAGTCGTGTTAATCATAATGTTCTAACTCTTTAGAGCTCATTACTCCTCATAATCCAACTCCCCGAAGTTTATTGTCTTTTCGTAGGCTAGCTATTTAAAACTAATACAAGTTCAATTAGTTCTTTCTTAATTTAGCCCATTGGAGCTCAATATACTCCCTACCCTAGTTTTTTTGGAGCCTAATACAGACTATACAACTTCTTGGAGCTCATCTATCTTATTAGGGTTACTCGGGTACAACTTCTTGGAGCTCATCTATCTTATTAGGGTTACTCGGGATTTTTAGATAACCTATTTAACTCTTACTATTTCCTGCAACCAATATCTTAATCTAATCCACTGAGGCTCATCGTTTCTTTAGCTCATTGAAGCTCATCGTTTCTTTAGCTTCTTAGAGTTCATCATTTATCATGATCAAATTCTTTGTGGCTCACCGTTTCGATGGTTCACGATTAACCCTTAATCGTCCCTCCATCATAATGATGGGCTGGTAACACTTGCTGGGGCTTGGGCTAAATTGGTTGGATGCCTGGGCTGGAGTTCTGGGTTGCTCTGTGGGTTGGTTCCGACCCGGTAGCCCATAAATGTCTCCTCCTCACCCGAAAATTCGTAGCTTTTGTCTTCCCTCTCCGGCGACACTCCTCGACGACGGCGCAATCTTTCCGGTAAATAACCACGGCAGCAGCATTCCTAAACAGTCGATCTAAAAAAAAGTAGGAATAAAATTATAATAATTTTAGAGAAAATATGAAAATAAAAGAATTTTTTAAAATAATATAGTTTGCCGACATGTCGACATTTTTAGAAAAGTGCCAACTAATTATTTCTGTACAAATGGCACTTTCGGTCAGCTCTCTTCCATCCACGTGGCTCCTTCTCATTTGTAGATTAGTGGTTGACGTATTAATGGTCCCTATTAAATATAAAATTAAAATTTGTTTCTCATAACATTTATTTATTAAACTAAAATTCAAATAATAATAATAATAATAATTAATAATTTAATATCGTTTTGATATTAATTAAATAATAGCCACGTTGCCGAAGCCAATTCCCAAGAAATTAAAAAATCAATATTTGTTATTAAATAAAATAACAATAATTATATTAGGAAGTTTCTCTGACATTTTTAAAGCCATTCCTTATTCCTTAAGCCACGTCTCAATGCCAACTTTTTAAAGCCATTTGTTTTGAGATTATATTCCATATTATCATCAAATTACCTAAAAATTAGTTACTTAAAATATAAATAAATATCGAGAATTGGTAGACTCAAATTGTTTATATATGGCCCGATACTTAAGATTTGAATTAGACTTTAGAATTTGCATTTGATGCTTGTTTGTCCCTCGTCTCTTACGACATGGTCACTTCACTTACTCTTCACTTTTAGACCGATACGAGTTTTTTTTTAGCATGTTTTATTTTCACTCATAAAAAAAAAATTAGGAGATCACCCCGACACATGATTATTCCACATAAATATGTTATCTTTAGGATTCCCTCGTTCCTATCAATTTTAGATATTTTTTATTTTGTATAATTTAATATTTATTTAAATTTTTTAATAAAATGAAATTTGAAAAAGTGGAGATGAATTGGGGCAATTTATTGCCCGTCGAAGTCGCATTGTTAGATCTCCCAAAAATCAGTCAATCCACCTCCCAGCTCCGGCAACGACGACAAAAATGACCGACTACGGCACGATTCCAACCTCCTACGCCGCTGCCACAGCCGCCGCCGCCAACCTCGAGTACATCTCCCTCGCCAAACAGCGCTTCAAAGACGGGCTCGGCCACCGTCGTCCATGGCGTCTCATGGCCGATTACCACTCCTTCACTCTCCCTTCCAACCTCCACGACACTCTCGCTCGTATCAAAATCAACCTCGCTTACTTCCGTATGAATTACGCCATCGTCATCCTAATCATCCTCTTCCTCGCCATCCTCTGGCATCCGATTTCCCTCATCGTTCTCGTGCTCATGATGTCCCTCTGGCTCTTCCTCTACTTCCTCCGCGATCAGCCTCTCGTTATCGCCGGCCGTGTTCTCCAAGATTGGATCATTCTCCTCGTCCTCTCCGTTCTCACCATCGGATTCTTGTTCTTGACCAACGCCTCGCTCAATATTCTCATCGCTCTGATCATCGGCGCCGTCGTCGTTTTGGCGCACGCCGCCGTGAGGAAGACCGAGAATCTCTACTTGGATGAAGAAGCTACTGGATTGATGGCGCCTGGATCGTAATCGGAACCGATTAGTCTTGTTAATTGTAGAGGTTATTGGATCTTCTTTTTCTTCTGATTCCTTATGGTGATCTCTGTTTTTGACGATTGAAAATTTTATGAAATTGTGCAATTTGATTTCAGCTTTCGAATTCTTAATTTATCATTCTTGTGATGCAACAAATAGTGTTAACATTTGTTTTCATATTTTTAATAGTTCAATCGATGTATCTTAATTCTTACGAGTTTCAATTGATTTAATTTTTTTTTAATTGTTTTACCAAATATTTTATCTCTCAACTTTACAAAAATATGCTTTTTTGGGATTTTATTGAAATTTGATTATATGAAAAATAAATAAAATCCTAAATTAGGGGCACTTGTTTTCATCTTCGATCGAGGTGGGATCGAATTTTACTCGTTCCTCTCCTTGAGTTTGGATCTTACAATTCACCTCTCCTTCAGAGTCTTCATTAGCACACCGCTCGATATCCACCCCTTCGAGGCTCAATATCCTCGCTAGCATACTACTTGATATGGGATCTCACAATCCACTCCCTTTTTGGAGTCCATTCAGAGTCCTCGTTGGCACACCATCCAGTGTCTACCCCTTCGGGACTCAGCATTCTGCTAGCACACCGCCCAATGTCCACCTCCTTCGAAGTTCAATGTCCTCATTGGCACACCGCTTGGTGTCTAACTATGATACAATTTGTAAACGCTCAAGTCCGTCGCTAGGAGATTTCGTTCTCTTTGGACTTTTCCCTAAATGTTTTCAAATCGCGTCTACTAGAGGAGGTTTACACACTCTTATAAAGAATGTTTCGTTATCCTCTCATCCTCGCTAGCACTCGTTCAACTCTCCAATTGATGTGTGATCTCACATGAAAGGTATATCTTGATATATAATTTTCGATACAAACTTGATATAAACGACGTTATTGTCGTGTAGCGTATATACACCAACTTAAGCAACATATACTCAAGGGTCTTATTATCTTCTCAATCAACTCTTCCAACTTCAACATTCAAAACTGACCAAGTAAAAATCCATCTCAAGTTTGAAAACGTACATTCAATACATAAACGACCACAACCGAACAAGCACGAGAATGCAATCTAATTGATTCAAAGTTTTCATCGCTAGGAGTTGTCAGTCGAGATCGAGCGAAAAGGGAGAGTTCTATGTCCAAAGATCAGCTTCCTTGATTTACAGGCTTAGCTGCTACACTATTTTCCTACAAAACTTACTACTACAACTACTACTATACACAAACAAAAGCTTTCAATGAGCAAAAAGAATTACCCAAAAGAATTCAGACAAAAGGGTGTATTGTAGTGTGTTCTAAGAATGCTGATCCCTTTACAAATTACTGCTACTTGAACTCCTCCTTGTCTTGTCCCTCTCCCAGTAACCACCTGATCTTAAGCTCTCAAGACACGCCTTTTCATTGAACCTCTCGAGCGTCTCGTCCGATAACGAGCCACTGTAGTTTTGCCGCTGCTGCTGCTGCTCAGTCCACATCCGACCGCTACGATTACCCACGTCGTAACCGGGTGTCGACAGGTAATTAGCATCCATGATGAGGTCGCCCTCTAGAATCCGTAAAACCTTAACAGATCCAAATGGAAACGAACGGTGTCAAGTTTTGAAAAAGTCCATCATCAATGCTAGTAGATGGTTTTAGACTTGATATCTCACCTGTGACATACGAGGCCTCGCGTTCGGATCTCTTCGGATGCATAACGACGCGGCGTGCAGCATACAGTATACTTCATTCTCGGCGAAGCTATTTCCCAACCTTGGATCAATCAGTTCATCAATGAGAAACTCATCCAACAGGGGGCGTGCCTGATTTGGAAGAACAAAGTATGAGTCGTTGGTAATAGTATCTTTTCAAGCTTGCTAACTATATGTTCACTCAAATTCCATACCCATTCAGTGAGACACTGTTGACCTTTTGGTCGGTTAAGGTCAACGGCTTTTCTTCCGGTAATTAGCTCCACCAGTACCACGCCGAAGGAATAAACATCAGCTTTTTCGGTGATTTGACCGCTTTGAGCGTACTCGGGAGCCAAATACCTACACCACGGAAAATAAGATACGATATGTGAATGAGGTGTGATCGAGAAAAGGTACAAGGTACAACAAGATGTGGTTAGATGCCTACCCAAACGTTCCAATAACTCTCGTCTCGACACCGGTATCTCCGTCAGGCTGCCATCTTGCAAGACCAAAATCTCCAACCTTGTAGAGAAAGAATGAAACTTAGACATTGTCCAAGAAGAAATGTTTAAGGTAAAAAGGAATCGTAAAAGCTCAATCCCATCGTTAACAGATATTATCCTCTTTGGGTTTTCCCTTCTCGGTTTTCTCTCAAGGTTTTAAAACTAGTCTGCTACAAAAGGTTTCCACACCTTTCTAGAGAAGGCTTCATTCCCCTCTACAACCGATGTGGAATCTCACAATCCACCCATTCCCCCCTCCGTTGGGGCCCAACATTCTCGTTGGCACACTGCCCGGTGTTTGGCTCTTATACCATTTGTAACAGTGCATACCCATCGCTAGCAGATATTGTCCTTTTTGGGTTTTCCCTTCCGAACTTTCCCTCAAAGTTTTAAAACGCATCTGCTAGAGAGAGATTTCCACACCCTTATTAAGAATGTTTGGTTCTCCTCTCCAACTGATGTGGGATCTCACGATTCATCCCCTTTGGAGCCTAACGTCCTCGTGGGCACGCGTTCCCCTCTCCAATCGAGGTGGGATCTCACAATCCACCCCCCTTCGGGGCCCAGCGTCCTTGCTGCCACAATGTCCGGTATCTGGCTCTAATACCATTTGTAACAGCCCAAGCCCACCATTAGCAGATATTGTCCTCTTTGGGCTTTCCCTTCCGAGCTTTCCATCAAAGTTTTAAAACACAGCTACTAGGGAAAGATTTTCACACCCTTATAAAGAAGGCTTTGTTTTCCTCTCCAACTGATTGATTAATTCTAGCAGAAAAGTAGTCGTGTGTGAAGGAGTACAACTTTTAGAAGCAATTCATAAATGCTTTCCAAGAAGATGAAAAATTTTCGTACTAATGGTTCGAAATCATGGGTGATAAGAATGTTGTTCGGCCGCATATCCCGATGAACAATGCAACCGACTCGACATTCTTCATGGAGATACCGTAGTCCCCGTGCAGCTCCCACGGCAACTTTTTGTCGAGCAGACCATTCTAACGGCTCTTGTTGTCGTCCTGAAACAATAACAAACATGGCCACTCCAGTTTATTAGTATTAGATCACTGATTCACCTCTAAAATCATATATGAACCGTTAAAGCCAAAAGGTTACCATATAAATGAGAATCTAATGAGCCATTGCAGATGTATTCATAAACCAACAACCTTCTTTTCTCCTCTATACAAAAGCCGATCAACAAAACGACATTTCGATGCTGTGCACAGCTAAGAACTTCGACTTCGGAACAAAATTCATGGTCTCCTTGAGAACTAGCCAGTTTGTGCTGCTTGACAGCAATCACCTGTCCGTCCGGGAGGACACCTCGGTGAACAGATCCATATCCTCCTTCTGCCAAAAAGTTGGCTTGTGAAAATCCACCTGTAGCGAGCTCGAGCTCGGCATAGCTGAACCACCTCGGAGGCTTTCCGAAAACTGGTGCCTTGTGTTGGCATATTGAACATAAGGGAGGAGGGCCGGGCGGCGTGTTCCTGGATAATGAAACTGCATCTCGTACATCGCCATGGAAATCATTGTCGCTTATATGGCTCGACATTCCAATGCTAGATTCTCTGTCGAGTTTTGAAGATTTTCTTGTCGACATTTGATTCCTATCATCACATCTTTGTGGCCTTCCAATGTGTTGAGAGGATTGAAGATGAGAGCTTAGAAGTTCTGACATCCATGGTTGGAACCTTAAACTCCTCGAAGAAACAGATAAATTCTCAATATCTGAGTCTGAACTAGCAGCATCAAGTTCTTTATTTTCCTTGATAACAAACAACTCCTCTTTCTTCATGTCTCCGTTCATTTCCGAGACGAAAAATGGAGAAGTTCCAGGATCTGAGCTCGACACTGATGATGTTCCAGCTTCGGTAGCAGTAAAAGGCGTGTCTAACTCTGGACTGCTATTGGGAGTCACAACTGGTCCTCGAATGAAATCGAGAGGATCGTTTTCTTTTCGATTGCTTTCGGACCCGTCGTCTATATCATAAGGTAACAGAGAAGGCATGTCTGGTTCCTTCTTTGGAGAACCAACCAAGTTCAAACGAAGAACTTTTGGCTGCGATCGCTTCATTACAACAATGTTGCATTGTAACTCTTCCATGCAACATTTCTCCTCGTGTTTGAGATGTCTGAAACAATTAGAAATAATTATATAAACATCATAGGAAGAACTGAGAAGTGAGCAGAAGAGAGAATTACTTGTCTAGTACAACCCAGCTAGCTTGAGCTCTCTTGGCCTCTGCGGCCACGGCCCCATTAGGCGATGCCGAAACGATCTTAATTTTCACATTGATCTGCAAAAGACAAGGTTCCATTTCAAGAAACATGTCATCTAATTGGAGTTCTACTCTTCAAACAGCCAAGAAGGCTTTAACCTTATTTGGATCATAAACATCATGAAGCTGAAGGATCATCTGTGAACATGAATCAGTGATATCACATTTCAGCTCCGAGCTCGTTCCAGAGTGAGCTTTCTTGTGACCACTCGCACAATCCCCAGCGAATCTCGGAAAACCCCAGAATTTTCTACCTGAAGGACATGATGAACAAATGATTGGAAACTATGTGTAACGGCTCACGCCCACCACTAGCAGATATTGTCCTCTTTGGGCTTTCTCTTTCGGGTTTCCCCTCAAGGTTTTTAAAATGCGTCTACTAGGAAGAGGTTTCCACACACTTATAAAGAGTGTTTCGTTCTCCTCCCCAACCGACGTGGGATCTCACACTGTGATAATGTAACAACCCAGACCCACCGCTAGCAGATATTGTCCTCTTTGGGCTTCCCCTACCCCTCGAGGCTTTAAAACGCGTCTGCTAGAAAAAGGTTTTCACGCCCTTATAAATGGTGTTTCGTGCTCCTCTCCAACCGACGTGGGATCTCACACTATACGATAAAAAGCAGTCTAAGCTGTTCTCGGTAACACTATGTGACAACATTTGGAAGATGAACAAATGATTAACCAATATCAAAATGAGGGAAAGGAAAAGGAGAAATATACCAGAGCTCTGAGAAGGAACAACAACCAGCAAAGTTATGCAATCACCAATTTGAACAACATGAGTCAACGCCCAAACAAGTGCAGTTTTAGGAATTTCTTTGGAAGCCTTCACTGCAACAATCACTTTCTGAGCATCATCAGAACCTTTGTCCTGCTTTCCCCGTTTCGATTCTCGACTCATTACCGCGTTGTTTCGTCGAAAATTTACACTCTTACAAAGTCAATTCTCACACTCCTAGAAGCAGATATTGCCACTGCTGCTCAAAGACGTGAATGAGGACCAAACCCAGAAAAACATGTGCATTATCGAACTGTTATCCCACAATGTTGGATTCAAGTTACAATGACAAGACCCTTTTCATTTCATCTTAATCAGTACACAAAATTCACAAAAAGGAAAGCAAACCCACATGCAGAGATGATTTCTCAATTCATTTTGAACTAAGAACCTCCACTGAGCTTTCAAATCACCAAAAATGGCTGTCATTCAACATGGATTTGAGGGAATTCAGTAAAACAAAGATACTTCAGACAACAATATGTTTCACTTCTAATGTCCAACCAAAACAGGAACAAAGGCAGTGACACGACAGAAGCCAGCTAGCTCTTGTTAATCCCTTCACACAGAACCCAGCTGAAAAATAAACTCAATCAGCTCAAATAAAGTTTCATCAAATCTGATACAAGGGAAAACAAAATCAAGCGAGAAACCAAATAGAGCATTGATTCATCAAAATACACACAGTAAAACTTAGAACTCACCGCCCAAATCCACCAAATCTTCAATCAAAACAGAGCAAAAAAGCTGCTCACAACAGTTAAAAAACAAAACCCAGAAACAAGTTGTTATCCAAATCTTAGCGAGGGCTTGCTTTTTCACCCTCTTCCCTTAGATGGGTCTCCTTCTTCTTTCACGTCAAGCCAGCAGAGTCACAGAAACAAGCCAAAATGGGTCCGAAAAGAGAGGATAGATTGAACTTTGTAAAGGAAAAGAAAAACAGAGTAATGAAAACCCAAAACATAAAATTGGGTTATCTTTTTCCCCTCTTCTTCTCTCTTGTTTTCTACAAAAGCTTTTTAGAGAGAGAGAGAAGAGAGAGAAACTTGAGTGAAAAGAACAATCAATCAGCTTTGTGGGGTGTGTGTGTCTGTCTAAGAGGAGATTTCAAAACAACCTCTTGAAAATCAGTTTCACAATCATAACTTTTCACGAACTTTTATCACATTTTAGGCTAATCTTTCATATGATTCCAACTTTTTGTTCAAGTTCCAATACGTTTCATAGGTAAAACTTACCTTAATGGCTTAAACAAATGGAAGTATGCTTCAATTTGTTGAAAAAAAATGGACTTTTGTTAATGGGTTATGTTAAAAGAACCATGGATCTACACAATCGTACGATATTGTCTACTTTGAACCTAACCTCTAGTACCAATGAAGAAGTATTCTTTATTTATAAATTTACAATCATTTCTTAAACTAATCTGCGTGAGATTCCTTCCCAACAATCTTTAAAAGATTATTCCAATAGACGTGAGTTAAAATAAAAGAAAAGTGAGACCTTTTTAATTCAAAAAGTGAAACTTAGAGGGAAACAAAAGCCTGGGAATTGGTCGAATAGATACAAAGATTAGCTCGCACTGTACAAATGCAACCATGTCTCTGTTCTTCATCAGCCTGCAATTCAAATCAGTTTCCTCTGCAATTTTTGCCCAATGAACCTTTAGTTTGTCAATTTCTTATATGACCCTCCAATTTCATTATAATTACAAAACTAACATTCACAATATCTTTTTGAGGGTCCCATTAACTTTATTTTTTAAAATTTTTATTTGAATTGATAAAAATAAAAAATAAAAAAAATAAAAGAAAGGGTGAATAGAATCATCTAATTTGAAAGGAAGCACCCTTTTTTTAGTGACCGTACAATATTGTAATATTATTACATATATATATATATATATATATATATATATATATATATATATATAAGGGTTTTCCTAAATGTTTGAGCCGAAGTGCTTGGGAGTTTTAAAAGAAGAAAAGGTTAAAAGAAAAGGGATGGATAATAATTTATATTTTTTATTTAACAAAAAAAGGAAAAAATAATTTGAAAAAATTTGAAAACCCAAAATCGTAAATAAAGCCAAAATGAGTGGCACTTTCTCCAACACATCCAGCCTTCTCATTAATGCGAAAACGTGAACTCAACCACATTCCCAAGTCCATCATTTATAACAAATAAAAAAATAAAATTAATAAATCTCCACCTCCCGACACTCTCCTAGCCGCAGGTCCCCCACGTGGGGTCCACTCGCCTTTATCCATCACCGTCATTGTCCCCATCCATCTCCATTTCTTCACCTACGTTACCTGACACCGTTTCCTAACGCCGTCAGAAAACGATCACAGATTTCCCTCACGGCTGAGTGATTGTAGCATCTGTCTCTGCCCCTGCCGCTGTTGTTGACCAGACGACGGCGTTTTGGCGGCTGACGTCCTCGGCTTCGGTGCCACGTATCCCGGATCGTGTCGCAGCTTTCGAACCTCCTAAAGTATTTAACCTTTTTAACTAAATTTCTTTTTTCGATTTAATAAAAATTTAAATCAAAAGATAAAAAAAATAAAATTCAGCCTTTTTAAAATTTAAATTAAAATTACACCGACTTAATTTATATGATAATTATTAATAAAAAAATACCTTGTTTATAAAGCTAATGCCCTATCATTTAATTAGGGTTTCCCACTTTCTAAAATTAATAATAATAATAATAATAATAATAATAGGGTTTCCCCATTGGGTGACAGAATCACATAATAAATTAAAAAAAAAGACTAAATCATTTAATTTAAATAATTATGTTATTTAATTCCAAACTTTTTAAAACTTTTAGTTGGAATTTTTATTTTCCTTTTTTTCTTTTTTATAAACATTAATTATTTCATGATTTTCGGAGCAAACCAAAGGGAACGGAGTAATAATTTTTTTTTTTTTTTACTGTTCAACGTGGAGAAGAATAGAGAATTGAAAAACTGTTTGGAAATAATATATTATGATATATTTGGATTCATTATTAAATTTAATAAATTGGAGTGGGTTAAAAAATCATAAAATTTAATTTGTCATTTACATAATATTTTATGTGTTAAATTTATTTTTTTAATCAACGTTCCAATCAACTGCTTTTTTTATTAATTAAATAGTATAGTTTTTTTTTATTCCACGTGCATAAATAGTTTATTTAAATGTCAAATTACTCCCTCATATTATTAAGCTAAAGAATATGGATAATAGGTTAAATATAACTTATTGGGAAAATAATGAAAAAAGAAATTGTTATATAAAATCTCCCATCTTTAAGTGGTAAGATTCCTCCGAGATAGATATGTAAATGAACATAGACCATATCTAATCTCATGATGGGACGGTTAAAAAATTGAAAATTACTATAACTAACCGCATGCATCTTCACTTTCAATAACTCGATCGTAATAACTCTAATGCTAAGTGTTTTGGATCATTTCATTCCTCGAAATAAGTAAATAATATGATCATGTCACAAAAGATGTAAGAGAATGTAGGGTCAACCAATATTAAATACCAATTATAAATTATGATATAAATCTTGACATTTTAATCTTTTATTTGAACTTAGTTGTTGTGTGAGTAACGTGTGAATTTTCTTGAGAAGTGCTTAAGGGGCTAGGGATCGTCTTGCATAACTTCCACCGGTGCTAGCACCTCTATCAACGCCTCTTGAACCGTATTATTTGGTTGTTGATTGGAGTTTTGATAGGGGTTGAACACCCCAGTAACTAGTAGGATTCGTGGGCAAAGTTGGAAAACTGTTGTGCGACCTCTGAAGCGATTATCTTGGCTGTGTGATCGACTTCACCTAAGACTGGTGCATAGAAGGGTGAAGACAAAACTCGAAAGTTCATTAATTTCCACATCTTAAGTAATTGCCTACAAAAAGATGGTATTGAGGTAAGCCAAGACCATATATTATATATATAATAAAAGAAAAAGGAAATAAATCATACCTTGAATTGGTCAATGAATGTGCAACAATTTTAAAATAAAATCTGTAAAGTTGATTGAATGCTGATTTGTGCGACGCGCATGGCTCAGAAAACCGACAAGCCGTCGGGTTTATATATTAATTTGAATAAATAAATTTTAAAATTGATGACACAAAGCTCACCCATTCGTTGGAACAGGGCCCTCAAATTTTATACGATTATCTTCATTATAATTAAATTGTATGATTAAAATTGGAATAATTTAGATTGATTTTATTTTAAAATGGTTGGCACAGTTAGTTACAATATTTTATTTATGTTATTTTAAGTCATTTTAAATAATTATTTGAAATCAAGATCGATATGATGTGTCCCGTGGTTCATGCACGCGTCATATGTGTGATATGTTGATATGCAATGTTATGTCATGTTATATTATGATACACGATACATCCAGTTATGCTATGGTATTCAACAATATGGCATGATATGTCACAATATGGTATGTTATGCTAGTATATGTCATGTTTGATGGTGTTAATATAACACATGCGGAAGCAATTTGGATCTTAGACACTTTTAGAACATCAATTATAGGAAATAACTAGCATGTTCATACGTATTAAAATTTAATGAGTTTGAATACTAACATTTTGTAGTTCGAATTCTTTTTTCCTCACGCACCGGTTTCGAACCACCACTAGTGTCTTCTCCACTATCCTCCAACCGAACGAGATTGTGGAATCCGGTGAGTGACTAAACTTGGGAGAGATTTTGTATATATGAAGAGAGTGTTTGTGAGAGGTTTTTCTCAAGGTTTTTTCACCAAGAAGAAGACCTTTCATGTTTTATGATCACTCTATTTATAAAGCCATGTTTGCATGTTCATGCAAATTTGAAATCACCAAATTTTGACACTCAAAATTCCATTCAAATGTTTGGGACCTATAGATCATGGGCTCCAACTATCCAATATTAACTGGTTAAACTCATTAACCTTGTTAACCAACATTCGTTAACTACTAGGACATTCCACTATAGCCTAGTAGTTGCACTTCCCTCACTATAGATATATTTTTGTCCATTTGATATAACCATGATTAGTAAGTTGATCCTTCACAGGTTGTCGTAACTAGAGCTGGGTCAATTTACCATTTTACCCCTGAAGTTACTTCTTGTATCTTATGTCTCACTGATCCTCTAATGAACAATTGGTTTGTGGTCCAACCAGTAAACCGAATCTCTCTCAGACCAATGAGAGGGTGGGGCCCCTTGTTCAAGACCTGGAGTCAGTACTTAAGGGAATTACCTCTCTTCTATCCCTAAAAGTGGGTAGGAGTGAATTCCATCTTGTACCCCACGTCCCTAGCCATTTACCCAGTCTTACCCCTGAAATGGGAGACCTATTAAGTCGGCGAACTTGAGCCACTCTCACCCATGCAAATCTAAGGATAATTCCGAATAAACAAGAATTCATGGTTAGCTCAGGATTAAGATTGAGTTACCTAGGTCATCGAATGAAAAGAAAATCAGTCTCAATAGTAAACGACATTATAAAGTGTGAGTAATTTTCTTCATGGTCCGATTTTATGCAATACTCATTGCATAGGACGTCTCCACTCACATGTCTTCACATATACAATTTTAGTGATCACATTGTTTATATCATATACAAAAGTGGGCTGCATCCATAGTGTCCCCAGAATAAGGTAAGTGTCTTATCCTTATATTATATATCATTTTGACTATATACTTGAACTTGATCAACTCTTATGTCTTTACATATAGTTCAAGTAATCATACTATAGCCAGAGTGTTCTTAGTTTATTGGATTTAGATTAATGATCATAAAGTTTACTTTATTCAATAACAATCTTTACTGAATAAACAACAATAATAATTTTATTGAAAATAGAATATGTTTTTGTTTACAAACTATGAGTTTTAGAACATAAAACTCAATAATGTTAAGCTATACCAAGATGTTGTCCTGCCGCCATGTATGAAATTGTCATGAAATGGTAATCTTTTATGCAAAAACCTCCTTATGTCATGTCACGAAAGCTATGTTAGGTATGAAATATATATATATATATATATATATATATATATATATATATATATATATATATATATAAATTATGTACATATAGTTTATCGACTTAATTGGTTAGGAAATAATTGTGAGTTTACTTACATCAGTACACTGTCTCGTTATAATGAGTTCAGACACGTATATT